AGGTAAACGTACCGTTTTGGATACTTAGTAACTGTGCGTGCAGCGCGTAATAAGCTAGTTGATGTGCGCTGTAGTTAGCAAGCGACTTGTTCTGTTAAATTTGACTTCGTTTCGAGCAATGATCTAAGCATTGAATTGTGTTCACTTAGCGTTTACATCACATGTTTATTCTCTCAACGAATACTTGGAATTTTGAACTCAACGCCTTCTTAATAGGTCGTTAAAGAAAAATATCAAATGCGACAAAGCTAAGGGTCTTAGCCGGTGAACAGGCCTTCGGTCGAGCGGGGAACTGGAGGGTTTGAGTGCGCAACCGTGGGCTAATAAAGAAGTATTAGGCACAAACTGGATTGTCCAAAATATGTTTTCTCCCGCAAACTTAGCTGCAAACGTTATTTTAGATTCCCTTGGTCTGAAATGTACATGAAAACCCTATTCTAAGCTGTGGTGCTATCATGGTAAATTGCAAAGTGGATAACACTATCCACTGGAAAAATCTCTGTCCCTTTCACGGTTTTTTTTACCTTTGACTGGGACTAGTTAGTGCCTGAAAACTTTAACTGTCAACACGGTAAAGTTGCCAAGTTTGAAATGAAGTGATTTGTTGAAAACTAACAAAGATCTAGCTGCCCAAAGTCGTGGTATTTTATAGACATTTGCATGGTGAGGGGTAAGTTCGTGAAGTTTTTATGGTTAGAAATGAAGTAAAAATGGACAATCTTGATGTTTGGCCATTATCTGTAGAAAACGAAGCGCTTTTGACATGCAATTTCATCTCATGGTAGTTTCAATCTTTTTTTAAAAACGTGTGTCAAGATAAAGGAGATAGCTCTAGCCGATTGCAAGAAAGAAGGATTTGATAAGTATGTATCGAGGTCCTCTTGTTAGCGGTTTTGTCAACATTTTGGTTTACTTTAACAAATTAGCGAGTACTTTTTTAAAAAAATTAAGATTCTTGAGATTAAACTGTTCTTTTACAAGCTTTTACATGACCTTTTAGTTTCAATATTATTGACATATTGTAAGGCAGTAAAATGAAGTATACAACACAGGAAAAAATAACAGATTCCCATTTTTGATGTTTTAGGGTATTTGAAGAAATTTGGAAGAGTGAGACAAATCCCAATCAGGGAACTTGGTTGGGAATTTCCTGGTTGGGACTTGTCTCACTTTGCCAAATTTGGGATTTTTATGGGTATTCATTAAATACCCTAAAATATCCAAAAATGGGAATCCGTTATCTTTTCCTGTGCAATTCGCTAACAAATTGTCAGAAATTTTTTGTTTACAAGTGAAAGCCTCTCTTTGTTAAGGGGTATTGTCTCCAAGTTTCATATTTTCGTGCACAGCAATAGCTAGCATTTGTGCATATGTCAAATGCATTGTTAGTTACTGCTGTTCACGTGAAGCCCGCTTACCAAGTTCTTGGAAACCGAGCCAGCCGGCCCTCTCATATGAACACATCAAAAATTTTGCAAAGGATTTAGAGGTAAGGCAAGATNATATCCAAAAATGGGAATCCGTTATCTTTTCCTGTGCAATTCGCTAACAAATTGTCAGAAATTTTTTGTTTACAAGTGAAAGCCTCTCTTTGTTAAGGGGTATTGTCTCCAAGTTTCATATTTTCGTGCACAGCAATAGCTAGCATTTGTGCATATGTCAAATGCATTGTTAGTTACTGCTGTTCACGTGAAGCCCGCTTACCAAGTTCTTGGAAACCGAGCCAGCCGGCCCTCTCATATGAACACATCAAAAATTTTGCAAAGGATTTAGAGGTAAGGCAAGATCTCGTGAACCGGGCCAGCCCTGTGAACCGGGCTCATATGAGGAGGCCCTAATACAACTGTGGTGGCATTTTTTCCAAATCTTTGTTTATGGCGACGTAGTTTACGCTCAAACTTGGAAGGTATTGACTATGAAAAACTGTATCGAGCCCCTTAACTCAAAAGGTCCTAAAAGAAACGGGCGCGTTTTTCTTCCTTCCCAGCTTCCTCCTTGTTTTCCTACCGCCCCCACCTACTCAAGCCAATGCTTGGTTACCTAGTCATTGCACCATCACCATTCTTTTCCTTCTTCGTGATAAAAGCAACTGCTTCAGTTAGTTCAGTTGATGATCTGTCTGTTGCTATCCTCGGAGGTGAACGTGCGCCATACTCATGAATGGCTGTGATGTACTAGGTCAAGAGGGAAGAAAAGCACTGGATGCTTGTGTAAAGGTCAAGATCTATGGAAGACCACAAACGCAGCGCTATGATTATAACTCAACAATTAAGCGTTTGGAGGAATGCTTCGCAGGAAAGTACCCTGATGGGCTCCACGCAGTGGATAGAAGTAAACGGCAGCCATCTAACAAAGAGCAAGCATTGATGGACGAGAGCATAATCGAGAAAATATTTCTTCCTTCTTTAAGAGATAACTATGGAATAATTGACATCTATGAATCCCTTGTTCGTCTTGATAATACTCCTTACGTTGAAAAGTATCCTGCAGTCAAAGGGACTGATTCTGATAAACGGAAGAATTCGATTGACAAACGGCGCGAAGATGTAGAAAGAGAAGTCAGGGAGGCAACTGCGAACCCGGATGAACGGCACAGATACTCGTGGCTTGTTGCACAGCGTCGGGTAAGGGATTGCTTTGCTGGAAGTTTTGCGGGGGATGCATCATTACTTGAGAGAAAGACGACGGCTGCCTTCGGGAACCCAATTCCCAACCTTCTCGACCCATATGAGAGAAGAAAGAAAGAGATGTCAACTCCTGACACTTATAGTATTAGTGACTTATATAAGGCTTTTAAAAAACATGATAGCGTAAGTGTTTCGAAAAATATTGAGAAATTAAGTTGTCAAAGATGTCAAGTGTCTGAAGAAGTGAAGAAACAAAGGGATGATGTTGACACTGAGTATCAACAAGCTGTGACAGTGTCTTCTACAAGTACCTCTATCCAAATGCACCGTAAATATTCACGAGAAGAAGCATTTCACCGAGTAGAAAGTTGTTATTGCAGTTCTTGTGCTAAGCATGTGGATGCATTTAGGAGGGTTTTTAACAAAACAATATCCATGTGTCATCAGAAGGCTTTTGACATTTTTTTCATTAATTTTGCCGCTCACTTTGTTGCATTGATGCCAACCATATACTGTATCAAAACTACGGATACGAGCTAAAATTGGTATCAAATCTTGTTCTCTTTGAAAAATATCCAAGTGATGGACCTGGATCTGCAGAATTGAAGGAATTAATTGATGCACACAGAACTTGTTTAGAAAAAGAGTATATGGAAGACAAGCTCAACAAGCAAAGATATACCCGTAGTGAGGCTGAGCGTCGAGTGAGAGATTGCTTTGCGGGTAGCTTTGTGTGTGATTATACTAACATTTTTCCAAGCAAAGCTGCTGATAAAGGCACATTAAGAATTGATCAGACATATGATATTTTTGAAATTCAAGAGGCAATCCAATATTTTGATTCAAAAAAGCTTGTTGATAAGTACCCAGAAGAAGAAATTATGGCCTGGAGATGATGAAAAGAAAAAGGTTGATGAAGAAAGAGCTGGCATTAAGCAAGAATATGATGAAGCCACTGCTATTGTTGAAGTTGAGCATGGTTCCGGTTTTATCATTCAAGATCACTTCATTATCACTAACATGCATGTCATTGAATTGGCACTCAATGATGAAAGCCACATTACTCAAATACTAATTTCCAAAGCAGCCTTGGGTGATGTTCGACTTCCTTGTGAAGTTGCTCACTATGACGCAGGTAAAGATTTGGCCCTTCTGTATTGTCCAGATTTAATAATAAATCAAACTCAACCTTTAGAATTGTCACATCAGCCACTGTTACCAGGCATGCAAATTTTTTCTTTTGGTTTTCCTGTGAGTCACACGGGAGACACAGCTCTGTTTGTAAATGGCTATGTTTCTGGTTCTAAGAAAATGCTTCAGGGTCACACAATGGCAGTATTAAACTGCCCTCTTAACTCTGGCAATTCTGGCGGTCCAGTTCTTTGCTGGGTTGAAGGTCAGTTAAAGGTGGTTGGTGTGGCAACACAGAAACATTTTAAAAACATTTTAACTCCGAATGAACAGGTAACAATTGAACAAATACGAAAAATGTTGCAAACTTGTGTTATTCCACAAGATTCAGAGTTATCTGAAGCAGCTAAGTTTTATTCTGGGCCTGCAGGGGATTTGCCTCCTCTTGGCAAAACAGCAGTGTATTTATTGACACTAAAGCTGTATGATGCTCTTGAAACCCACTCACAGTTTAACTTAAGCAATGCATTACCAGGAGATCAGGTGATTGATTTTGTAAAAATGTCCATCGAGAAGTACCAGGGAGATTGCAAAGACGAGCTGGTTAAAGTAGTAGAAAAATTCTGTACTCCATAGGCATAGCCTTTTACCTTGAAAAATGCTTGAAGCAGTACCAAGCACCTTATGGTACTAACTGGCAAAACTCCTCCTATAGCCTATGAATACAGTCACCTCCCATCACTCTCCACCAATAGGGTTGTTTCATGAAACATTCTAAGCAGCAGGGAGCTAGGAGAAGCAGGTGTACTCAAAGGCTAAGCTTTCCATGGGTTAAGTGGTATTCAAATGAGCATGTGCAAAAAATGTAAATAATGATGCCAGCCGTGATTTGCAAAGATAAGTAATTTGTATGTGTAATCAAATGGTGACGAGTGAAATTATTCCCTAATTTCACGAGTATACTATTTGATTACCTATTAATATCATGGGTGACGAATTAGGTTAGCAATCTTGGATTTTTGAGATGTTTATCCTGGATCGTATCGATCAAGAACTCTACTCTCTCAAATGTTTAGACCTTAAATTTGGCTTATAAAGTTCAGAATTTTTCAGAATTTCTCGGCAAAATACCTGAAAATCCTTCTTGATTTTCTCTTGTGTGTTCAGGTTTTCTAAAGCGTCTTTTTGTGCCCTGACATATTCATTCATTTTAAAACTTCCTCGCCATCTTGACACTGAGACGTATGGAAGGTTGCCATGGCAATTTTGTAATTTCACATGTGAAATTACAAATTAACGCTGAAATTTCGCGCCAAAATTAAGGAGTAATTCGTCACCTATGATATTAATAAAGAAATACATTATTTATCTTTTTCATTGATCATAATTTACTAAGCACTTTCTGCTGTTTAACCGTCCATTAAAAGTTTTTTCAGGGTTCATTGATATTATTGGCACTATAAAAAGGATAAGACAGTGATATCTGTTCACAAAGTTATGGGGATTAAAGAGACTAGACTAGACTAGACCTCCAACCCCCCCCCCCCCCCCCCCCCCCCCCCCCCCCCCCCCC